GCCAAACATCTTGATCACTCCCTGCTGACTGGCTGCAGTATAAGATCATGAACGCCGCCCCCTCGCTGTTAGTAGATTGGAAATTGCCCGAGCTTGAAAGATTTAAAGGACACTATCCATCCATCAGTTCTAACACTTATCCATTAAGGGGCACGGGGGTGGAGCCAATCCCAGCTGATATTGGGCTAGAGGGAGGGTACACCTTGGTCAGAACAAGTCAAAGTATATACCAAATGATTATTTTTTGCCATCTTAGGTAATTTTTCTCCAACTGATGTATGTTGAAGTGTTTATTTTCTGATAAATGTAGTTTTAATCAATTATTTGATGCTATAAAAAGGTGAACTGTCCCCTCTGATGACTGGCAGCTGAGACCAATCTGGGATTAGGTCAAGTGCAAGGACTCAATGTCCACCTCCACGATCACTACTGTGCAAACTCATGCTCTATTGCAAGCTGACACCACCCATATCCTGGATACTTTGGTTTCTCATTTGTGCAGACGGAGGAAGTGGAGACCTATCACCCATCTTTATATACAGTCATTGACTCATGTTATTCAGTATAAGAGCAGTGTCAGCTGAATAGGTTTGATCCTGTGTGATCCCATAGTAATACTGCTGAGCAAATTTCTTTGTTTTCAGCTTTGGATAATGGCATGAAATTAAGTACAGATTAGTTTACTCCAGCTCATTGCTAATCACCTGTTTGTTGTCATATGATGGATAGAAATGTAGAATCACGCTGGCATCAGCATCTGCCTCCTCCCAGCACTTGAATTCAGATGACAATGAAAGTTGGGTTTGAGTCGATCCTATCTACAGACTGATAGTCACGGATCAATATACTTTTCCCTCATTCAATCCCATTCTGCTGCCTTACTATTTTCAGTCATTAGATGATACAGATATTCACTGGGAAATTATTCCCCTGGAACACACACAGTCTTACTGGGATTAAGGAGAGAGAGGGAAAGCAAGCGAGCCTGACTGATAGTGAGAGAGAGAGAGACAGAGAGAGAGGCCCATTCTCCTCTTGGAATCCACACATTGTTTTCCCCTTAGTCGATGGGGAATTCTTATCAAAATGCTGCCAGGACTATCATGAAAGGATATGGTAATTATGGAAAAGGCGCTCACGCACACACACACACACACAGGAAGACCACCAAGCAATGGGCTAATATAATGTGTCTGGTGTGGGGGCTATTTCCATACCCTGCCAGAGTGCTTGTCACATTCGATTAATTACTCTCTGGCAGTGTGACAAAGATGATTAAAAAGAATGATGAAAAATATTCCCTCATATGGCTCCAACAAAAATTCCACTAAGTCTGTTTAAAGTGAAGCCAAAGGAAAACAAGGCATGCAGTCTCAGTAAAAGTTAAAGGTGTTTTCTTTTTCTTTCACTCTGGAGGGATTACAGTACCATTCACGCTACTGAGCTACTGAGGAAGGGAATGTACGAAATGAGCCAAAGAGGATGTTTGCTGGAGCCGCTGTGATCATGAGCTGTGCTTCGTTCTGGCGGGAGAAAATAAAAAGCCTGTGGGGTAATGAGCTGCATCACAGCGTCCGTTCATAACCCCTCACATCTGATGTCTTTCGGCGAACGCAGCCTATTTAACACTGTCAGATCAATTAGTAGGTGAAGAAAGGGCTGGGGAGATGTGGAGCCTTTTGTTCAAACAGACACTGTGTGTGAGGAGGTACAGTACCGTTAAAGGGAATTCATCTCGACAGCAGGGTTTTTTTAAGATGCACAATATCCAATTGTGCTTCGCTTTTCGCACAAAAGAACAGGCTGAATTGGAATTGTTGTGGTGTAACGTGTAGACTAAATCAAACACCGGGGATGTGACAGCCTTGTGGGGGAATTGGGAGCTGTTAAAGAGTAGGGCAAATACCCCAAGGGGCATATGAACGCTGGAATCTACATTTCAAGCAGCACCAGGCCTCCGGTGGCTTAGATGTCTGACTCCCCCTGAAAAATGCTCCAACGGCTTGAGCCTAATTTTTCACTTATGACTGAGGATTCCCGACTGCAGCCGAGCTCAATCCATTCGTCACGAGGACTCCTTTTCAGTGCAGACATTCTTCAAGGAAGAACACAAATATGTCATTTTCTATACAAGTGTCTGCCCGTGAAATTTCTTTTTCCCCCTCTGCTGTTTGGTCCTTTTGTGGGGAAACATAATGGCTTGCTTCAGCAGTTTTAGCATCATGTTTGAGATTAGAGGGACGACAAACAGCCGACAGGTGCTGGAGAGATCACTCCGACTCTGACACATAGTCCCTTCAGAAAAATAGTGGCTGTTTAATTACTCTTCAGGCAGCTATGGCAGATGAATGGTTTTATTGTGAAAGGTTTTGATATAAAATCAAAAGGTGAAATGGCTTTTTTTATGCTTGCCAAAATGCTAAACCAGCAAGTGCAGACCATTTGTCAAGAATTACAACAGATGGAAATGATGAACAGATGGATTTTGGATTAATCAAATCAAACAATGGAGATTTATTGTTAGATTTTGATGAATGTTGAAGTAGAGATCTTCAAGTAAACCAGATATCAGGGCAAATATCAAGTCACTTCAATTTTTTGGGTCGGTCCATTATCTCAACTCAGGTTATGGGGGGATACAGAGTGCCTGTCCAATACTGGTGCTTTCCTTTTCTGACAAATTGAAAGTCTGGACACCTCACTGCATGGAATGCACCTTGATATTAGGCCAAAAATGACCGAGGCAATAACTTGAAGGACGGTTTGTTATCAGATTATCAGTGTTTCCAAGGAGGCTGCATGAGATTCCATTTCCCCTGCATACTGATCACTTTACAGCATCCATAGAGAAACCGAACGCTCACGTTTAAACCCAAACAAATGTTGGTGTAGATCTTTTTGTGGTTGTTCAGGCTTGTGTCCATTTACTGTGTGTGCATTTCTTTCATGGGTCCATCTTCGGTTTGTGTAAAACATTGATTAGTTGGAATTAATAGTTGTTATCTGCTGGATGTGCTGGATTCGTCCCAACTGACCTTGGTCCAAACATGACGATCCACATCCTAATTAAATGCAGTTCCCCTGTTCTACCGTCTTCATCTGCAGCAGTGAGGTCGTTTTAATGTGTTAATCATCACCTCCTACATGTGCTTTGCAATTACTGCAAATTTCAAAGTGAAGGCAATGGTAAGCCTTTGCAAAGGAAGTGATTAGTCTGGTTTTCTGTACAGAAATGTTCCACATTTTTCATTATTCAGGTCTTTTGAAACACAGTATGGAGAAAGTAATGTTTGATCTCTGAGTTTTGCATCTGTTGCGTGGATCCTGGCTTCTCTCCAGGCCAGAAAGAGAACAATCCTAACAGCAGAGACATCAGTCACTGTCCCTGCCAAAGCTTCAAAAGCGGCTGAATGCGTGTTGAGCAGGCAATTGTGTAGGGACGGTCAAGCTCACCCTCATCACAGTCCCCTTCTCAAGAGACTACATTTGTGCACACAGAGAAGAATGCTCTCTCACTCGTGCACGTGATACAGTTCTGTAGGTTTGTATCACGTAGATGAGCATAGTGTTTATGTGCGTGTGATATCCAGACACTGATTAAATACCGTACCTTCTGCCTAAGCTATTCTATGTGGACACCCAGAGGACAATGAGCATCTGCATGCATCACCATTCATCAGAGCAGCTCAGTAAGATGTGTATATCACACGAAGAGACAGCCTGTGCATGGTGCATGTATTTGAGAGGTATCTGCTCTCGGGTCTGGGTATGGTACAAATATAACCAAGCTATTATAACAAAAAAATCTGTCTCAACAGTCTTGGACATCCATCAGTCCATTTTATGAACCACTTGTCCTTTGAGGGTCACAGGGAGAGCTGGAGCCGTACCAGCTAACATTGGCCAGGTATGGGGTACACCCTTTGACAGGTCGCTAGCGCATCTCAGGACCAACACACAGTCAGAAACAACCATTCACGCTCACATTCACACCTAAAGTGGTTTAGTACCCACAGGAAGCCTACGCATGTAGAGAGCATGCAAACTCAACACAAAAAGACCCCAGTCGAGAAATGCTAATCACCACCGTGCTGCCCCGGTCTAGAACAATAAAAATTTAAATGAGCAAAACCATAAAACGATGGTGGACAAAAGATGGATTCCAAAAACTTTGGCAGATTTTAAATTTGAGCTGTGAAGCACTGAGTTGAAGCATCAGGGTTGGTGTTGGAAGAGAAAAAAGCTGGATCAGTAAATCCCTGGATTGGGTAACTCTGTTTGGAGTGACTAAAAACCCAGCTGCTTTCATGAATTTTCTGAGTTTCCCTGCTTTCTCAGCCCTGCAGGAAATGTCTGAACTTTGGTAACTTACTGCTCGCTCCCTCCCCTCCTCCTCCTCCTCCTCCTCCTCCTCCCACTCCAACACTGCTCCCAAAAGTCGTCCATTTAAGGAGGATGGCAAACGGTGATTCAACAGAAAGCCCCACACAATGAATGCCATTACTAAAATCTTGATTGGCAGGAGGCACCCCTGCCTTTCACCACGCTCCGACTCGGCAGTAAAATAAAGCATGCAGACCAGTCAAGCCACAATGGAGTGCCTTTCCCACCCTCAGGGAGTGTGAGCTAACACAACACTGTTGCTACAGCGATCACAACAGCAAACACTGCCAATCAGGTCAATCGCACAGGTATTTATTTATTTTATTTTCTCACCCTTTTTTCATGTCTCAGACTGCTTACAGGGGCCATTCATTATGCTTCAGCCTGAGCACACAGAGGCGCAAACACAGCACAGTGATCTACCTGCGCCATTCATGTGACTCACTCAGCCGGCACAATCCATTCACACAGCTCACACACACACACACACACAC